AGTGTTTTTTTTTGTCAAATTGACCTTTGATCCACAATTTCTATCATTGTTTGGTTGAGGTCATTCAGTTTTGTCACTATGTTATATTCGGTTTTATTTTCAGATGTTGATCCCGCAAAAGAGCCAAGCACCAACTAAAGAACAGCTTGCTCGATATGGACTCAAAGAAGAGGAGCCTTACTATAATTCTACTCCAGATGTCGACGAAAACTTCCCTGTTGTTGATTTCATGAAGAACAGAGCACGCTCTGCTTGAATTCATACCACATCTGTGCAGATTATCATGCGGGTTTTTAGTAGAGAAATATAAAACTTAATTTCGATTGTTGTTGTTTTTGATATAGGCTGTTTTCTTCATATTGATATATCTTCACCCTTTTATGTCATAGGTTTGCTCTGTTCCTCGTTGAAATTACTTCCTAATTTGATTATTGCAGCCTTTCCAAGCTTAGGCTGTAGTTCCGGTTTTCAGGATGGTTCAAGAAAGTACTATGATCTGGTATGTTGGAACTCTTCCTGAGAATTATGCGGTGGAGGGATAATTGCGGTGTTTTGCATATTCTTACTGTTCTGCGTGTTCCAGCGTAGATAACTCTGAATGGATGCGAAATGGCGATTTCGTGCCAACTCGTCTGCAATGCCAACAGGATGCCGCGAATCTGATTCTACAGTGCAAGCTGCGCGCCAATCCAGAGAATGCAGTGGGACTTCTTTCGATGGCTAAGTCAGTTTTTTTCTATTTAGTTTTTCTATTTAAAAATTCACGTATAATATAGATGAGGGGGTTCCCACAGTGTCGCTCAGGGCACATCCTGCAGTTGGGAGAGGGGGACTTGAACAAAATACATCCCCCTCCCAGGAAACTTCCTCTTCTGGTACGACTTATACCTCATTCCTGCTTCTCATTCCATCGCATCCATTTCAGTATTACCGAAATTGTCCCCCGACCTCCTCCATTTCTTCCGAAGTTTTTTTTTTCAATAAATTTTTCCGGTTTTCCCCGGAAAACTGCCGTCGAGGGAGGAAGATGGGAGCATACAGCGCTCTTGGAACACGAAAAAATCTATAAAATCCAGCAACCTGCATTTTCCTCGATTCGCGCAGCTCAAAAATACGAGAGAAAAGCACGACATGCTTGCGACAAAGACAGCTCAGCCCACTGCCCAACTCAATACCCAGCTTTCATTTCTAGTAACTTCATGGTAATGCGGCTATCCCATCCTTAGCTTTCTCTATTATGAGTGGTGAGAGTGGCGTGGCGTAATAAGGGTGCTGATATCAGCAAGTGAGAAGCTCGTCTTACCACGCTCTTTCCTCGCGTTATGCATGTACAAGCCTGGTTTACCATGGGCCTTTATGAGGCATGTGGCATTTCGGACGGATTTTATTTTTTTCTTCACTTTTTTTCTTTTTACCGTCTTGTTCCTTCTATTTTAACCTCAGAACTCATCTTTTTTGAGCGGAAGGCGTTCCTCTGAAGAACGTCCAAATGTGGGGATAACGTTACCTGAATTGAAGTCCCTACCTTGAAATCGGTTCACCAACCCTCTCCAAGGACTCCTTTTCACAAGTCCTTGAGAAACATCGTCATCCCCATTGCACGATACTAAGCTTTGCGTAGGTGTCTTCCGATTGCCCCCAGATGATAATCACCCACCTAATGTCCATAACTAATATTGAGGTTATGCTATTGCTACAGGTTGCTTCGACTACAGTTAGATCCTATTTTTCATCGAAAGTTGGTCGGTGAAAGTTTAAGCGGCGATTGAGTGATTCGTTTTTTTCAGTCAAGTACAAGTACTTTCTACTATGACACAAGAAAGTGGACGACTTTTCATGAAACTGCATCAATTGGAACCTCAGGTAAGGCCGTTACTGGTTATCAGCTGCTTTCCAAACGCGTAGCCTCTGTGCAGATTTCAAATTTCCAGCATATCTTAACATTTAGGGAGTATGCAACTTCATGTCTGCCATCAAAATTGCTCATTTGGCGTTGAAGCATCGTCAGAATCGAAATCATAAAATGCGTATTGTGATGTTCATTGGCAGTCCGATTGATAATCTCGATTCTGCTGAGGTAACGAGTTTCCCAGATAGCAAATGAGAGGACTCACCTTTATTTTCTACTGTACTTTGGTTCGTTTCAGCTGACTAAAATCGCAAAGAAACTGAAAAAGGAGAAAGTCCAATGTGATGTCATCTGTTTTGGTGAAGCCGATTCGGAAAATAGTCAGATAATGGGTCAATTCGTGGATACCCTGAACGGGAAGTGGGTGCGATGTTGTTTATGAGCTTTTGAGCCAATTAGGTTTTCATTCCTTTCAGAGAAGGTAGCGGTTCGAATCTTCTTGTAGTACCGGCAGGATCGGTGCTAACTGAAGCACTGATCTCGTCTGCTGTTTGTCGTGGAGAGGATGGTGGTAACGCACCAGTAGTTGGCGCTGGAGGCGGTTTCGAGTTTGGAGTTGATCCTGAAGATGACCCAGATCTTGCTTTGGTGCGTTTGGATAGCGGTGCTGTTGCTTATAGTCCCCGTGGATGAAGGGGTGTGTCCGCGCGGCTGCGTTTGGCACGCCGCCAAATCTTTTCTCACCCACTTGTTCAAGCAGGTAAATGACAACACCCACTGGAAAAAACGGTCGATACGGGCGATATGATACAGT